GATAGTTTAAACTGAGCTCTATTACAGATAGTTTAAACTGAGTTCTATTACAGATAGTTTAAACTGAGCTCTATTACAGATAGTTTAAACTGATTTCTATTACAGATAGTTTAAACTGAGCTCTATTATAGATAGTTTAAACTGAGCTCTATTACAGATAGTTTAAACTGAGTTCTATTACAGATAGTTTAAACTGGACTCTATTACAGATAGTTTAAACTGAGTTCTATTACAGATAGTTTAAACTGAGCTCTATTACAGATAGTTTAAACTGATTTCTATTACAGATAGTTTAAACTGAGCTCTATTACAGATAGTTTAAACTGAGTTCTATTACAGATAGTTTAAACTGAGCTCTATTACAGATAGTTTAAACTGATTTCTATTACAGATAGTTTAAACTGAGCTCTATTACAGATAGTTTAAACTGAGCTCTATTACAGATAGTTTAAACTGATTTCTATTACAGATAGTTTAAACTGAGCTCTATTACAGATAGTTTAAACTGAGCTCTATTACAGATAGTTTAAACTGAGCTCTATTATAGATAGTTTAAACTGGACTCTATTACAGATAGTTTAAACAGAGTTCTATTACAGATAGTTTAAACTGAGCTCTATTATAGATAGTTTAAACTGGACTCTATTACAGATAGTTTAAACTGGACTCTATTATAGATAGTTTAAACTAAGCTCTATTACAGATAGTTTAAACTGGGGTCTATTATAGATAGTTTAAACTGAGCTCTATTACAGATAGTTTAAACTGGACTCTATTACAGATAGTTTAAACTGGACTCTATTACAGATAGTTTAAACTGGGCTCTATTACAGATAGTTTAAACTGGCTCTATTACAGATAGTTTAAACTGAGCTCTATTACAGATAGTTTAAACTGAGCTCTATTACAGATAGTTTAAACTGAGCTCTATTACAGATAGTTTAAACTGAGTTCTATTACAGATAGTTTAAACTGAGCTCTATTACAGATAGTTTAAACTGAGCTCTATTACAGATAGTTTAAACTGAGCTCTATTACAGATAGTTTAAACTGAGTTCTATTACAGATAGTTTAAACTGAGCTCTATTACAGATAGTTTAAACTGATTTCTATTACAGATAGTTTAAACTGAGCTCTATTATA